ACATTAGTGAGACGAGAGAGAGAGACGACTTCTATCTTTGTGAGTTCACATCTAACTTAAATCAGATTTTAGATCAAATGTTTGTTTTGCTGTAGTTGTGAGGACATTGACTGCATGGGTTGATATTCAGACACGTGATTAAAAGAAAGTAGAAGCAACAACGATGAAAATCAAGAATCCCTCGTGAGAGATGAAAAGAAAAGAGAAAGAAGAAGAAAATCAAACGATATGGAGCGTGTTGAGTCTGAGGGGACGGTTCTCTTCTGAAGGAGTTCAAGTGTCTCTGAGTGAGGCCAAATAATTCAGACGCTGTAGAGAAAAGCTCTCAATTTACCAGAACAACTGCACTTCAAACATCTTCTTAGGTCAAAGAAAGAGACAATAGAAGCAGCCGGGAGTTTATTTATCTGAGTGCAGCCGTGAGGCCGTGCTACCTGGACAGGAAGTGAATGAATGGAGAGACGGTCCTGACAACACTTAAATACATGACTTTATTCTTTACAGTTTGTTGTTTTGAGGTTTTTATATCTTTCTGTTGCTTCCCAGTCGGATTCACAATCTGAAGATTCAAGTTTTTTTAATCAAAATGTTGTAAAAACATTCCACATGTGAGCTGACGAAGGTTCCTGCATGAAGACGTCGGGGCATTACCTAAAGAGACAGACGGACGCCACGTTGATTTGTAACAACACAAACTAACTAAGTGATTGAGGCAGCTGTAAAAACCAGCAACTCACGTGTTCTGAGAACTAAACTCACAGTTTCTGTCAACGGACTCTGGTGGCTTTGAAGAGATCATAGATTCATAGGCATCATCAAGCGTAGTTCATGGTCGCTGTAGTGAAGGCGTGCGAGCCAAAAGACGAGGTAATCACGGCCTTTGCGGATATTCAACCTTCGTCTCTTTTACAATACGTGTAACACTTGACTTCTTTCTCTACAGGGTTTGTACAACGGCAGTAAAGTAGTCCATGAATATGAGATATGAGTTTACAGATAATCCCTCCTCGGCATAACGGAGGTTTATGTCGTTCTTTTCCGGCTACACTTGTTGTCTTTTTCACCGTACATTTTGTACAAAGCTTGCGCGCCGTCTGCGGAGGCTCGCGCTGCGTTGCCACAGGCGAGAATAAAAAGAGGTGAAGATATTCTAAACATAACAACTCTGTTACTGAAACAGAGTTTCTGTTGTAGATGTCTGCTGCTGCCCTCGTCCACAGCAGTGCAGAGCTCTGCTTCTGTGCATCAGCAGCGCTGTAAACTGCGTCAGCGCTAACTGAGCTCTTCCTTTTGAAAAACCTGCACAACAACGCAGTCGACCTTTAATGTTGTTCACAGTCAGGGAATAAGCCGCCGCTGGAAAGCACAATCCGCCGTGTGTCGTTCATTTCAACAACTTCAGAAGCAGATCTTTAAAATAAATATTATCTCCAGAAACTTCAAAGATTCCTGCAGGGAAACCGGTCGAGGGACTTTCCTGAGCTTTCCCAACTTTGTGAAGAAATCTAGACGTGAAACAGTAACACAAACACACACACACGCACGCACGCACACACACACACACACACACACACACACACACGCACACGCGCACACACACCTCGTTACTGTCTCCTCCATCTGTGGACGTCCAGGAGAGCTGGTACAGCACCACATCGGAGGCCGGGTGTTGCCATGAGACCCTGAAGCTGTCCGTGGAGATGTCGCTGCTCCTCAGATCCACCGGGTCTGGGACGGTCTCTGCACACACAAACACACACTCACAGTCATGTTAACGATACGCTGGACAGCTGAAGTTGTCACCTGTGATTCATGATTGCTACTCAAGGAAATCCGATGAATTTTGAACTATTTTTTGGGCCTAAAATGTTACATCGGTACACTTGAGTTATTGCTATTGGTTCCTACTTGTGGTGAAGCTGTCAGTCGCGGCCTCGGCTTGTCCCTCATCGTAGACGGCAAAGACACCGACTGTGTACTCCGTCAGGGAGGTCAGGTTCCTGAGCAGCCAGGTCGTCACGCGGCCGACATCCACCTGCACACACAGGACCAATAAGAGTTCTCCTCCGTGGTTTTGATTGTGTGTTCCGTGAGATATGATGTCAGCGATGAGACCCTCTCACCTCGTTGGTCTGGACTCCGTTGGTCTTGACGTACATGATGCGGTAGCCTTTGGCCTTCCTGGAGGCCGAGTCCCACGTGAGCCGGGAGGAGCTGTGGTCCATGTCTGAGAAGCGCAGGTTACTCGCCGGAGTCAGCGGCACTGAGGTGGGAGGAGAGTAAATATTAAACTTCCATCTCCAATCTGTGCTCACCGTCAGTGACATAAAGTAGCCCCGCCCCTAAAGCATCCCCTGCTTTATGGTCTGTGTGACTC